ACAGGGTCCGGGACCCCAAACTGTAGGTGATTTGGTTTACAAAGCCCAAAAAACACTAGACAAATAATGTTAGATTGTTTTTTTGGCTGGTTTAGAGATGCATATATCTAGCAAATTCTAACTAGAGACAAATTTGTTTTCCTCTGTTTGTGAATAGGGCTTTCTCTGGATACATCTACCACCAAACAAAGTTTAGCGAGTTGTAAACAACCTAGGGGGCTGTACCTGCAAACACAGTACAATCAACGATACCTGAACAAACAAACAAATGCAAAACAACAAAACTTATTATATAGCCAAACTACTCGACTACAATTACAGCCATAATTAATAATGGTTGATTGGTGGTTACAATAACTAAAGCTATGATTATAGCTAACCAATCAACATTCATCAATTGCCAACCACCCGATTTGTGCTGCATCCTCCGTCCACTCCTTTTTTTGTGCGCGCACACGCAACGCGCGATTCCGCGCAAGGCGCGTCATGAATTTTCTAGGGAAAAAACAGAGCCAGCTGAGCGGTGATCCGGTTGTCCCATATACGTGCCATGGGGGGCCCCTGTCATCCCACCATCATGACTTGGGAGTGCAGTTAAGGTTGCGGGTATAACATGGTATAACATGGTATAACCATGGGATGGGGATATTTTTTACCTGAATATGCTCCACTTAATTCCACTGAATGTTCACTGGTAAACTCTTGCATAACGAACTGGCAAGATCCAGCAATTTTCATGGGTAAATCAACTATTTCTATGGTGGATCTTTCCATACTTATGGTGATTTTCCACTATAAATGGTGATTTTCCACTATAAATGGTGATTTTCCAATTGTTTTTTGGGTATCTTTACCAGGCCAGGTAGAAACCACTGGAACTCCACTTCCAACAGATCCAAGTCTTCCAACAGATTCTGATTCCTCACAGCTTCGGTGTAGATACTGGCTGCCCTCTGGTAAACTAACATAGCTATTGAAAATGGCCATAGAAATAGTGGATTTTCCCATAAAAAATGGTGATTGTCCATAGTTATGTTACTTTACCAGAGGGTATTCTGAAATTCTCGTCCCTTGAGAAGATCCAAAACTTCACGGTGCTGTTTTTACGCCCGGAAAAATGTGAAAGTCATCTTGGATCATCGTCTCATATCGTCTCTAAAAAACAGAACATGAAAAAAAACAAACAAACATATCATTGCCAATCTTAGATACCCTGCAAACAAATAAATTCTTTGCTGGTGAACGTAGATATTCCCATTGATACCAAAGACTAAAGGATTAGTTTGTATCCATCTAAGATTGACCTAGATATGGCTTTGTCCGAGAACAGAGAACCCCTAAATCCCATAAAAACAATGTCAACTAGTAAATGGATCATTTTGGAGGCCCCGGACAAACCCAAGGTCATAACATTGCCAAGATCAGTATCCCCACTATATCCCCATGTTGGATGATCAAACCACCATTCTTCAGGTAATTTTCAACCATTGGTAATCAAACATAACATTGGGAAATCCCCGAACTAAATGGAGGCTTTAGTGAGAAAATAATCCATTAATGGGGGATTTTCCCGCCAGCCACGTTTGATTGCCAGAGGGTGTTCAATAATATTCCAGTACCTAGTATTATCCTGACTGATACTTATTCCATTCATAATTCCATATATAAAAAAAAAACATATAAAACCATATGATAAAGACATGTTTTATCCTATTTATTCCATGCATATTCCATATTTAGTAAACAAATTCCTATGAAACCATACAGGATGGTGCCCCCCAGTGATGTTAGTTGGTTTATAAACCCCATGAATACTAGTTCGTTATATCTGCCATAAACCAGTTCGTGACATGGGAGTTATGTGAACCCCAACTTAGCGATTCCGAACTGGGGCACCACCAACCGTATGAAACATTCCGGGGCTCAGCTGGCGCCACGTTAAACGCAAGAGAGATCTGCATTGGCTGGCGCTTCACCTCGAGCAACATCTGAAATTGGCGGCGCTCAAATTGGGCGAATGGGTTGAGATCGGAAAATCATGGTGATTTTTAGAGAGATCATATAACCCATATGCTCCATGTATGGTATATTAATACGGTATATTTACCTACATTTGGGTGATTATTAGGGCAAATGTTGGTAAATATTCCATACATGGAGCATATGGGTAATCAGCACCCTTTTTGACAATAACAAAATAATAGATGACTGTTATTTTATAGTAAAATAGTAACAGAAAATTGAAAGAACATGGAACAATGTAATGGATTTTAAATCATCACCTTGATATCAATATAGATCATGATAATAGTAAAGTAAGGCACCCAGATTGGTATGTACTCAGATTTGCATAGTGGTGAGTTTTAATATCAATATATATGACCCAGATTTGTAGGTACCTATACCCTCCGTTTGTACCCTTAAAAATGGTGTTCTACCCACTTTTACCATTTTTCCTGTGGTCTTTGGAGGGTCTAGTTATTATGACAATAGTATAATACTTAGTGGTGTTTTATGGTGTTTTACTGTTATTGATTAACCATGAAACATCCAGATTTATCGTATTCTAGAGCACTTTTATATGAAGTCTATATATGGGTAACATTCCAGAATTCAAGAACTTAAAATTCTTGGGGATGCTTTCCCATACTACCCATCAATTTTCCTGTGACTGTGGCGGTCCGTACTGAATTCCCCGGACCGCTGGGGGTGGTCAGCGCATCAATACACAATACTGTGATTGAACATAACAAATATGTAAATTAAGCATGATATAGATGTCAAATATATTCATATAGTATATACAATATATATATATATATACACATTATATTCATATAATGTCAAATATGTCAACTATTGAAGTATTTCAACTTTCCCGTCTTTCCAATATATTGCCCCAAACGTTGCTATTTCAGTATTTCAACCATACTTACAATGTGAGGCCCCCAAGATATCTAAGTTGGTGAACATAACTCCAATGTCACTATATGGTTTATGGTACGCAAATAACGAACTAGTATTCCTGGGGCTAACTTGTTAACCAACGTTCACATCACTGGCCGGGGGGGCCTCACATTGTATATATATATATATAGTATATATGGTGATATATGGAAATTTAACATATCAATAGGATTGGGGTATCATAGGTAATCATGTAATAGGATTTAGGGATTATATACCCATCGTATTCAACCATACTTATCATTTCAATCATTACGAGGTCATCCAGGTCTGCCCAGTGACGGCCAGCGCACGTTGGGAATCCGGGGATCAGAAGGCCTGGCGGAACATGACGACAGAAGAACAAAGGCATGGCGTGATGTGAGGCCCCGCGGCCAGTGATGTGAACGTTGGTTAACAAGTTAGCCCCAGTAAAACCATAGGAAAACCATAGGAAAATGGAGGTTTACCCTCTGGTAATTTGTTACATAGCGAACTGGAAAGATCCACCATTCTTAATGGGAAAATCAACTATTTCTATGGCCATTTTCAATAGCAAACTGTTAGTTTACCGGAGGGTATAAGTACCATAAACCATAGTGACATTGTTTTTGTTATGCGGCCCCCAACTTAGATATCGAACGGGGGCCTCACATTGTGAGATATCCCAAGGTTCTCATCAAACTTCATCATCTTTAGATGGCTCACATGTCCAAAACTTGTGATATGCCCATGATAATCGTATTTTTTTAAAAAAATATGCCTGAGCGACTGGAAAAAGAATTCAAGTTCCTTTAGGTGAAAACATTCCGATCTGGAGAATTTATGACACTTTTTTGGGGGTGATTCCTAGACCCTCCAATACCATCAAAAAAAAATAAGAGTATCTGAGTATATACTAAGATTATGGGCTAAAACATCATTCTTAATTCTTAAGGCTACTCTTGGAGGGTCTAGTTAGGATTTGGAAAGTAATACCAAAAGAACTCTAAACAACGTACGGGACAAGAATTCGACTAAGTCTCACGTCCTGGAAAATCACCAACCAGCTTCTCAGAATCCCGACATCTACAGAGGTCAGGATGAAAAAGTAAAGCAATAGGATCATCCGGATGCTTATTGATCACCACCCCAATTGCCCAATTCATATCTGCTTGGTGGTTTTAACGGATGTTTTAACCATCTTGACAAATGATGGAGTGAAAGTCAATAGGAAGGAGATGACATCCCATATATGAAATGGACAATAATCCACTCAGGTTTGAAACCAGCAGTCCCAGATATTATAGAACATCTATACCATCCATTAACCATCCATTAACCAGATATTTTCCCATGGTTTTCCCATGGTTTTCCCATGGTTTTCCCATGGTGTTCCCATGGTTTTCCCATGGTTTTCCCATGGTTTTCCCATGGTTTCCACTAGAAAAAGAGAGCCATGACTGGTTTGACTGGTGGGATCTAGCAGCCAATTCAGGAGTCCCCCAGCGATGTTTGTTTTGTTTTTGTTTTTACCTCTAAATTATGTTTATGATGTGTATTATATATATATATATAATCATTATATATATATAGTGGTTCGTGTATGTTACTATTGATGTGGCAAAATGGATAATAACAATGAGTAATAGTTAGTGAATATCATCACAATATTACCCCAGTTATATATTCCCAAAATATATATATATATATATTACCCTCTGGTTATGACTAACATAGCCATGGTTTTTCGATGGCCCTAATCGAAATAGATGGTTTACCGAACTTAAAAATGGTGGATCTTTCCATGGCGAACTGTTAAATAACCAGAGGGTAAATTATGTTTATGATATGACCATTTATAACAATAGTGTATAAATATAACCCATAAAATAACAATAGTTTATCAGTCTATAACATTTATTTGAGTATCATTCGCATCATACACATCATAGTTATGATGGGTTATAGTCTAGTTCGATTAATTAGTATAGATTTTCATGTATAGTTATGGTTTATAACCAACTTCAAGTTCACTTTTTCCCTAATGTTGCTATAAAGTTGTTCTAACCAACTTAGCCTTCACAAAAAAAATCCAAGCACGGTGCCTGGGACCCTGGGACCCTGGGGTTCCGGTTGGTGCCCGGTTGGTACCGCCGCCCACGGTGCCTGAGGATTTCCCACTGCACATTGGAGGCCCAAAAGCCCAGGCAGGGATAGACATCTTCTTCGAGATCCGATGCCATGACCTGATAGGATCTGGTTCCGGTCGTGTGCTGTGACTCTGACGGTGGCGCGATCAATGCATTGTGGCGATGTTTCAAAACAAACTTAAAGTATATATATATATATATATATTATGTATATTTGTTTAGATTGTTTAGATTGACAGTATACAGGCATTTTTTGCAAAATTGTGTATACATACTACTATCATGATACTATCATACATATGCGGTTATGAATGGGCATCTATGGAGAGCAACAAAATAGGCACACAATAATGACATATTTTGAATGCTTCACAAACCATTAGTGCTACCTTGGTTTCTCACTCAACAAGACACCTTCAAATGGCAGACGGTGGGTAAATGTTCAGCATGTTGAGGCACATTCATGTCAGTTTGGAGGTTGCTTAACATGGTGGATCCCGACAAAACCATAGGTTTCAATACTAACATGTTCTAATTTCGGATGATTTGGGGCTACCACCCCCCATTTTCGGAAAACCTTCATTTTTTCAACCAAGCAACATGACAGGATTGATCTTTGCCCCTGCATACCAGCTGGCCGTTGTGGCTGAAAATCAGATTGTTCCCTTGACGCAAGACGCCAATGACCTCGTGCCGATCGGCACGATCACAAGCTTGGAAAGGATGATCTATGGAAATGCTCATATGGTTGTGTCTGAAAATAAACTATACCCTCTGGTAAACGTTTACATAACTATGGAAAACCACCATTTTTAATGGGTAAAGCAACTATTTCAATGGCCATTTTCAATAGCAAACTGTAACAAATTACCAGAGGGTACCCCCAAATAGTCAACCATTAATTGGTACATTTTTTTCAATCCTTTGGAATTGGAGATGCCATATTTTCAATTGGAAACCCATATGGTCGACATATATGTAGGTGTCTATTTTGTCGAAAGAAGACTGGCCATTTTGGACTTTGAAGTCCCTGACAGTATGGACTACCCTCTGGTAAACATACAAAAAGCTATTGAAAATGACCATAGAAATAGTGAGTTTTCCCATGAAAAACGGTCATTTTGCAATAGCTATTTTGACATAACCAGAGGGTTAATGACCAGTGGCTCCAGGGTTTGTCTAAAAACAGTGGAGCTACGGAGCCCCAAAGATCTTCTTCGAAAAGACAAAGATCTTGTCGTAAAATAGTTATCCCATGATATTCCCATCTTAATCCCACCATATCCCTATTGATGATGTTTTCTTGAGCACAAGTTTAACACATGCCCTTGCCTTCAGCCGTTACTATCTTCAAACCCAAAATCTGTGATCTGAAGCGAAAATCCCAGGGTTTGTGGTGCCCCAGTGCGCTACATCATTAAGTTGGGTGTCTAGGGCTTTTTTGGTAGATATACTTGCTGTATAGATATATAGTGGAGGTTATATTGCAACGTATACCCTCCGGCAAACTCACATAGCCATTTAAAATGGCAACTGCAACAGCCATTACGAGAGGTTATAACATGTTATAACCCATGAACTCCCATGGATCGCTGTAAAACGTCTTACAAAATGGTTATAATGGTTCTAAAACGTATTAAAAAACATTCTAAAAGCCAGGTTACTTATTCTATGACCAGCAATTTTCCTGGGTTTTCCCTGGGTTTTCCTAGGTTTTCCTGAGTTTTCCATGGGTTTTCCCTGGGTTTTCCTGGGTTTTCACGTCTCAAAAGCTGCGTTTCACCACCACCATCACCTGCACCACCAAGAGGCGTCCCCCTGAGCCACCTTGATGGATCCGAAGTTCGTACTCCTGGCCGACAGTCCATGGGTTAGATATCCTACTTAGATGGGCCTAGATGGGCCTAGAGATCAAATTCATCCAGATTAGATCCAGATTATCAGATGAGATTAATATGATTTATATCTACATATATTTGTATTATATATATATATATACATATATATATGCATATATGTTCCATTGTAAATATATCAATATCATGGTTGATGATTAAATCCCATATTGATTTCTGCAAAAAAAAAAAAGGTTTCCATGGGGCTATCCCAAGCAATAGCTGGATGGTATTGAAAAATAGGGCATCTCCAATTCCAAAGGATAGAAAAATAATTGTACCAATGAATGGTTGGCTATTTGGGGGTACCCTCTGGTAATGACTAACAGTTTGCGACATAGAACATGGCCATTGAAATAGTGAGTTTTCCCATTAAACATGGTGGATCTTTCCATAGTTATGTCAGTATCTCTCTATTTTCTACTAAGATGGGCCATGGAGTTAGTTAACTAGTTAGTAACTGGTGGTATAACCCCCAAAAAATCCCAATGAAATAAACCATTTACTAACTAGTTAACTTCTTCATGGCCCATCTTCGTATCAATGGGATATGATATCTAAGGCATCTTAGTAAAATGGCATTAGACATGTTTAGATATCTTCTATATCCTGGTTTGTAATTTTGCTATCAATTGCAAATATCATCAGGATCATATGTTGGACATTTGGTTTTAACATATATGTGTTCATAATGTGTTCATATTATTATGTGCTGCTTTATAATTATGATGATGTTTCATCAGGATGAATGTGACTTGATGTTTTGGGTATATTGTCTTATACCATAAAATATTCCAGATGATGTTTGAACATATTTTATAGTTGGGACAAAATCTATGGGAGAAAATGTTGGGGATAATAATGATAATATGGAACAAAAAATATAATATGAAAAACAACAATATGCATGTATGAGGGATGCAATTGCTTCGGTCGGAAGATTTTGATTAACCAGCGGATTTTGGGTGTGTACTATTTATTTGGGGTATGACCAGTTGTTTTTTTACACGCAAAAATAGACTCAGAAATGATGTATGAAATCTGGCAATTATATTTGATGATGAAACATACGGTGATCATCACTTCCTCCAATCATAGAAATTGCCCTCAAGCAGCTGAAAAAACGAGGAATATGATGATAAATCATACTCAGCAGCTGAAAATTACATGAATTGTTAGAGGTGATGAAAAATGTCGGCAATGATATGAAATCCCAAAGTGCATCATTTCCCCGAGGTAACCGTTTACATATGGAGAATCCACCATGGGTTTCGTATCAAAAAATGATCCATGGTGGATTTTCCACGTCTAAGATCCTCTAATTTCAATGAGCGAATTTTCCCATTTAAATGAGTTTAGATCCCAGAAATTTCATCCGGATTGATGAGATGATTGGGATGGATCGGAGTGAGTTCCTCTACCACTGTGATGGATCCAGCAGTGGAAGTCCTGCAGGAAATGGATGAAAAATCTTCGTGAAGATTTCTATGTGCTTTTCCACTTTAAACTCAAACTGGTTGGTGGTTGCAACCCCTCTGAAAAATATGAAAGTCAGATCGGATCATCATCCCAACTATTGGGGAAAATAAACAATGTTCCAAACCACCAACCAGTAAAATACTCTGCAAAAAACGCTTCCATTTCAGTTTGTTCGTTCATTTCCCTATGAACATTAAACACACGTGTTTCTGGGTTCATGTCCTTCAACCCCAAAGCCAGGATTTAAATGTCTAAGTTCCTATTGATTTAAAGTCATGTGAGTCAAACAATGATAAATCATAAACCATCTATAGTCATCACCATTAGATTGATAGGTGGTATGTTTACTTACCCCCAATCATGGCTGGTTTATGACATTTATACCCACAGAATCATGGATGGTGGGACATATATGATATGAATTTGGAATGGTAAAGATAAGCCACAATTGGCATTTGGAACATGTATACCCACAGAAGCCATGATTTTAAAGATACCCACTAAAAAATGGCTAGTTTTAACCACTATTACCCACTATTAACCAACTAATAACCACAGTCAACCAACTAATAACCACTATTAACCACTATTAAGCACAATTAACCAACTATTAACCTCATTATATATAACCCCAGCCGTGAAAGACACATGTTTTTCCCAACTTCCATGGATCCAGGCGGACGCCCGTGGAGTTTTCTTCCCCGCCTTTCCATATTGCCCCCACGATGTCGACAGAACTGTGGGTGCGAGGGATTCCATACCCAGGCCTGCGTTTGACAAAAAAGGCGAGGCCTGGGACAATGATTTGTTACACTTTGCGACATAGAAAAAGGCCATTGAAATAGTGGATTTACCAATTAAAAATCGTAATTTCCCGTTGCTGTCAGTATATTGTGGGGATGATTATATAGCCTCTGGTAATTTGTTACATAACTATTGAAAATTGTGATTTAGAGTGGATTTACCAATTGAAAATGATGGGTCTTTCCATAGTTACCCTCTGGTAAACAGTTACATAACTTACATAACTATGGAAAAATCCACCATTTTTAATGGGTACATCAACTATTTCTATGACCATTTTCAATAGTTTTTTGTATGTTTACCAGGCCGGGTAGCATATTGTGGGGATGATTTCCCACCAAACAAAAACCATCATTCCACATGAGGTCAAGCGCAGTGCCTGGGAAAACTCTGCTACCCATGGCTCCCAACCGTTTCTTATCAAGCATCGAAGAGGCAGTGATTTTGGGCCCACATCTTTGGGCCGCTTTGAGGTTTTGTAATTCAACATGATGAAAAACCACCCCCCAAAAAAAATATGAAAACCACCCCCCGCAAAGGTGAATCCCATGATGATCAACAAAATCCAAAAAAAAACGTGGTTGATGGGTAATAAACCCTGAAAAGAAGTCACCCTGCTGGGACGGGAATTTCAGGATCCAATTGATGGAGGTACGTAAACGTACCATATGTTTGGCCATATGAATTGCTGGAATATTCCCTTAAAAATAGGCCTGAAAAATAGGCCAGAAATATATGGTACAATGTGAGGCCCCTCAGTTATAAGTTGGTTTAGATTCGCCCCAGTAACTATAGTTATAAGTACCAATAGTTATAAGTACCATAAACCAGTTCGTGACATTGGAGTTATGTGGCCCCCAACTTAGATACCTAACGGGGGCTTCACATTGTAGGTACCTCCGTCCTCAATCGGTCCCTGCATGGCGATGCCATGATGAATCCACCGCCTGCCAATTGTTGACGTTCTCTGGTGACGTGGCCACGCCAATGTACACGATGCTTCCCGTGTACCTTTATTATGGGAGAAGTTGGAAGATAAGGAAGTTGGATGGCTGGTTAACCACGGAAATTTGGATGAAAATTGTGAGTTTATGAGGAAAATGGTGGATTAATGGGATAGACTCATGATTCAATGGACTGGTTGAAGTAAAAATCAACACAGGAAACCCTAGTTTTTACCCCGAAATTATTTGCAAAGTCTTTTCAGCCAGTTCAACTATATAATCAATGAAAATTCAATCGATGATCACTTATTATCATATTGTTGATATAATTGGAGGTTTCCTCACTATAGGTTACATACTATAGGTTGCCCCCACTTATTGTGAGTATGACTTATTAACAATATAGTTACTATAGTGAGGCTCACTATTGTTACTCTAGTACGACTTATAGGTCACATGTAGATACAATACTATTGTTATTATACTATCATTATTGGCGTTATTCTATCCAACTTTACTCTGATACAATTGTTACTATCATATTCATCCAAATTTAGAGTAAATACTATCAGTATAATAGTGCAATATACTACTGGTGATATGTACTATTATGCTGTGATATATACTATTATTACGCGCAAACACCCGGTTTCGCCCACACCCTTCTTGTCTTGGGAAGATCAACAAAGGCATTAGGGAATATAAAAGTCCCACCCCCGTGAAACTTTACATTCATTTTACATTCATTGAAGATCTTCAATAAGAGTTTTATTCTCCCACCCCCGTTAAACTTCTACATTCATTGAAGATCTTCAAAAAGGGCGAGTTTAATTCTTCCACCCCCGTTAAACTTTTACATTCATTGCAGATCTTCAATGAGGGATAAATTCTCCCACCGGGGTTAAACTTCTATATTTGTTGAAGATCTTCATTGATGATGATGATGATGATGATGATGATGATGATGATGATGATGTGGTGGTGGAACGAACCCGCACAGGTCACTCTGCTGTGCGTTCTGATTTAGAACATCAAGCTAACCATAATGCTAATATATATATATATTTTTGTTTTAACCACGTTTTCAGCTCATAAGAAGAAGGCGGGCCAAGAGGCGCGAGCAAGACGAGGTGTTTGGCCGTATTATTACTATTATTGTTACTATTATACTATTATACTACTATACTAATATTATTAGTTAGTATAGTAACTATATCATAGAACCAGACTAGTTTACTAAATACTATTGATACTACTATCTATTGGTTACTTTACTATCATAATTGGTGTTACTAACTATCATAGTCTATCCAACTTTCCTATACTGTTATCACTATTGTTACTATAGTGATATTAGTATTATATAGTTATTGTTGTATGAATTATTATACTGTGATATACACTATTATTACTATATTATCATAATATTATACCATACATATTATTACTATTTATATTACTTTACTATTGTTATACTACTATTGTTACTACACTATTTGACTACTATTGCTAGAGTGATATATATATATATATACTATTATTGCTAGACTATATTGCTTTACATCATATTACTACTATATTACTTTGCTGTTGTTATACTACTAAATTGTTACTATATATACTATTATACTATTGATACTATCTATTGGTTCCTATACTATTATTACATCATTGTTACTATACTCTTTTACATCCAGGTGACCTGGTCCAGGTGCTATACCACCATAAAGCACCATTATCACATATATTCCTAGACTATAGACTATTATTACATTAATAGTACTATACGATATTGCTATACCACCATTGTTACCCTCTGGTAAACTAACATAGCTATTGAAAATGGCCATAGAAATAGTGAGTTTTCCCATTCAAAATGGTGGATCTTTCCATAGCTTTTTGTATGTTTACCAGAGGGTTCTCTCCAGTTTTTGCTCTCCAGTTTTTTTTTTCCGGGGCACCAGGTGAGCCCCGCGAAGAAGCTCCCGTTCTCCGGCGACAGCGGCTGCGAGGCCACCGCGAAGGACCGCGCGTCGCGGAGGCTGCGGACCTGGAAACGCCGTGGGAAACGCCGTGGAAAAATGGTGACGTCACCCGGAAAATATGGTGATTTTAGGTGATTTTAGATGAGAACATGGGGGAATTCACCATAAATATGGGGATGTTTTTGGGATTTGAGGTGATTTAAGATGAGAAAAGGAAGAATTCACCGAAAAAAAAAGGGTTTCGAGATGATCAACTGATGGTTTTCACCATGAAGAACACGGATTGAAGTATCAAATATGGCGGAGTTACCGAGTTTTTCGGGATTTCACTAGAAAGGTTTGGGGATTTACGGACTTGGACCATGGGGATTCCATGTGATTTGACCAAGTCTGATCATGTCTGGCCCGGCCACGAAGGTTGTAACCAAGAAGCACTGGCCACCAAACCTTGCAGAGAATCACGGAATCCATATGCCATAGAACCTCCAAATATCACCAAACGGTGATTTTTAGTACAAAGATTCGCAGTTTTTAACACGATCTATGGTGAATATCATGTACCTATCCAAAAATCTTACCTGGTTAGTACATTCCACAATGTGAGGCCCCCCAGTTATAAGTTGGTTTATAAGCCCCAGTAACCATAGTTATAAGTACCATAAACCAAAGTGACATTGGAGTTATGTTCATCAACTTAGATATCTTGGGGGCCTCACATTGTACCATGGATAGCAAAAAATGAAAGTACTAAAGTATCTAACAAAGGTTGACCCAGATATGGTGACTCGGAGGATTGGTCTCCGGTTTCAATCCTGAATCTTCCAGCCGAGATCGATGACTAGCCGCGCAACAAGGCTAGGGCCCCCCTTTACGATGGCGAAGTTGGTGAACATAACTCCAACATCTGGTTTATGATACTTATAACATCTTACAACATCTTACAACATCTTATAACATCTTACAACATCTTATAACAGCTTACAACATTTTTAACATCTTATACCATCTTATAACATCTTACAACATCTTACAACATCTTACAACATCTTATAACATCTTATAACATCTTACAACATCTTATAACATCTTACAACACCTTATAACAGCTTATAACATCTTACAACATCTTACAACATCTTACAACACCTTAAACCAGCTTACAACATCTTATAACATCTTATAACATCTTACAACATCTTAAAACATCTTACAACATCTTATAACATCTTATAACATCTTATAACACCTTATAACAGCTTACAACATCTTACAACATCTTATAACATCTTATAACACCTTATAACAGCTTACAACATCTTACAACATCTTACAACATCTTACAACACCTTAAACCAGCTTACAACATCTTACAACATCTTATAACACCTTATAACAGCTTATAACATCTTACAACATCTTATAACATCTTACAACATCTTAAAACATCTTACAACATCTTATAACATCTTTTAACATCTTATAACACCTTATAACACCTTAAACCAGCTTACAACATCTTATAACATCTTACAACATCTTACAACATCTTTTAACATCTTATAACACCTTATAACAGCTTACAACATCTTACAACATCTTATAACATCTTACAACATCTTATAACATCTTATAACATCTTACAACATCTTACAACATCTTATAACATCTTACAACATCTTATAACACCTTATAACAGCTTATAACATCTTACAACATCTTACAACATCTTACAACACCTTAAACCAGCTTACAACATCTTACAACATCTTACAACATCTTATAACATCTTACAACATCTTATAACATCTTACAACATCTTACAACATCTTAAAACATCTTATAACATCTTACAACATCTTATAACATCTTTTAACATCTTATAACACCTTATAACAGCTTATAACATCTTACAACATCTTACAACATCTTACAACACCTTAAACCAGCTTACAACATCTTACAACATCTTACAACATCTTATAACATCTTACAACATCTTATAACATCTTAAAACATCCCATAACATCTTACAACATCTTATAACATCTCACAACATCTTATAACATCTTATTAATTACCATTCATGGGGTGAATTTAAACCAACAAACATCACGGCACTGACAACCTCCCAGCACCACCTTCATGGGCGGCCCATCAGTTGCTTCAGGCCCCGAACAACTGGGATCTTGCGAGGTTCCGGTTCATTCATGCCATGAAGAAAACCAAACCAATCAGATCATTCAATATCAGTAGCTAATTGAATAAGAATATTGAAATATTGATCAGTAGCTAATATATTAAGCATATTTTTTGATGCGTGTGGAATTCTTAATCGATTCAGATCATATCAAACATATGCTTAAGAATAATTTGATTTCAGCAGTAGCTACAATCAATTCGAAGCCCAGCTACCCTCTGGTAATTTGTTACATGGCTATTGAAGCCATGGCCCAGTCGAAATAGTTGAAAATAGCCCATGTTCATAGCATGGTGGATCTTTCCATCGTTTTTTGTAAACCTTCGTTTACAAAAAGGCCGGGTTTTTTTCGGGACTTCCTGCTGACTCTGATCCAGCAAGGCACCAGGGATCCATTGGACAAAAACTCGATGGAGTTCCCCACCACACGAGAGCTGTCGAATTTCAACCGCCTCCGAGGCCGCGTTTGCGCTGTATCCATCCTGGCCGGAAACGACGCGACACAGGTTTCGACGGCGACGCAGTTCTGTAGCCTAAGAAAAATGGCGGTTTACCCTGGTTTTATCCCATAATCTTATCTGGTTGGTGGATGACTGAAAGTCAGCTGGGAAGATTATTCCCAACTAAATTCAGGTCCCAAACAACCAACCAGTTGTGTACTTTACTTTTTGTTTGGGCTATTTGGAGGCTTTTCAATGGAAAGTTTCAGAAAAATTACTTTACTTCGAGTGATCCCCACCATGACATTTCAAAACAGCTTGTTGACAGCACTTTTGTCTGAAGCTTTTGTCACGGGACTTTTGCCCAACTAACTATCCCAATCATTTGTTAGAAAAGATGTCAGATAGAATGTCAGAAAAGAATGCCAGATAGAATGTCAGAAAAGATGTCAGATAGAATGTCAGAAAGAATGCCAGAAGATATGCCAGAAGATATGCCAGATAGAATGCCAAATAGAATGTCAGAAAAGATGTCAGATAGAATGTCAGAAGATATGTCAGATAGAATGCCAGAAGATATGCCAGATAGAATGCCAGAAGATATGTCAGAATATATGCCAGAAGATATGCCAGATAGAATGCCAGAAGATTTGCCAGATAGGATGCCAGAAGATATGCCAGATATAATGCCAGAAGATCTGCCATATAGAATGCCAGAAGATATGCCAGATAGAATGCCAGATAGAATGCCAGAAGATTTGCCAGATAGATATGCCAGAAGATATGCCAGATAGAATGCCAAATAAAATGTCAGAAGATATGTCAGAAGATATGTCAGGGAACAGTTGGCATGGATACTCGCGGTTGAGGTCCGGCAGGGAACACTGGGCGCGGATGGTCGTGGTTGAGGTCCGGCAGGGAACACTGGGCGCGGATGGTCGTGGTTGAGGTCCGGCAGGGAACACTGGGCGTGGATGGTCGTGGTTGAGGTCCGGCAGGGAACACTGGGCGTGGGTGGTCGTGGTTGAGGTCCGGCAGAGAACACTGTGGATCGCGGGTCGCAGTTGAGCAAGGACGACGAGGACGACGAGGACGACGAGGACGACAAGGACAAGGATGACAAGGAGGACGAGGAGGAGGAGGAGAGGAGGACGAGGCAGGAGGAGGCGGAGGAGGAGGAGCAGGAGGAGGAGGAGGCAACTGACATAAAATCTAACAACCCTCACCTGGCAGGTGGGGAAAAAACTACCCCTCCAAAGGTGATCCAATTGTTTTCAATCCAGAAAATTGCAGATTCGTATAGCTTCGTAGCAAACATGTGTGGATCTCTTGATGGGTCATACCTCCTGTGTGTATAAAATTGTATAAATATATACACATATAGGTATATACCCTCTGGTTATTTAACATAGCAATGGGAAATGGCCAATAGAAATAGATGGTTTACCTATTCAAAATGGTGATTTTCCATGGCTATGTCAGTCATAACCACATGGTACACTGAGTTGTTAAAGTTGAACGATTTCAATGAAATGAGCGCCCCAGCTGCGCGCACGCAACTTCTAAAGTTGACCAATGTTGCGTCCAGCTTGTGTCTAGCAAGTTAGTTTTTTTCAGTTTTTTTGACTTTTTCGTGGGTTTTGCATTGCCAGCGACTTTGTGTGACTTCGTATTTAGGTTGTGTGTATACCATGTTTTCATGATCGCATGAAAGGACAATGAAAGGAAATGAGAGGAAATGAAAGGAGAATAAAAGGAACATGAAAAAAACATCGAAGGTTACCCAAAAATCCTGTGGTTTTTCATCACTTTCCGCATTTCAGTGCGACAATTTGGAAGGTCTCCCACCTTCTTGGATTCATATGCTCGATACCATCTGGTTATGACTAACATAGCCATGGAAAATCCCTTATAGATGGAGGTTTCTAGCTGGGAAAATCATCTATTTCTATGGGCCATTTCTCATGGCTATGTTTAAAAACCAGAGGGTATACCTATTGCTCGTCAAACAAGGACCCATAGAATTCCTCATGAACACTGCCTGATGAGAAACGCCCCAAAGAATATTGATCGTTGATTCCTGTTTACATGGAACATGGACTGCCAAAGAGCAGAGTCAGCAAAACCTTGGCGGTGTCCAATCGCGAACCGACAACAACTGCAGTTTGCGTGGTTATATGCGTATGGGTCAAAACATGTGAGGTTTTTGTATGCTTTAAAACCCACACAATTGTAGTGTACAGATTGTAGAATCATCCATTTGTCCTAGGGCACAAGCGCACAATTCACATCGCAATGATGTTGCCAGTATGGTTTCCAGGTTGGTATGGTTGGTATGTCTACAACCCTTGCGGGGGAAGAATCGTCCAATATTTTTGGGTAAACACATAGTAAAGCCACCATTTGGGATGGTTTTTTCCGCTCCATGTTTGGTAAACTTGGGATGGTTTATTTATTGTTGGCTGTATCACAACTGGGATGATGCTCGTCAATCAAATGGAACATCAGGCATGTTTGAAACCACCAATCAGCACCAAGTGGGCCCCAAAACGATAATTGAGTTGGTATATAACTTTAAAACAAAAAATATCGAACTATATCAGTTTCATGGAGTTGACAAACCAACTTAGCCAATGAACTGTGCAGCTTGTACTGAATTTCGACCCATTTGCCCGGCTGAAATATTGTAATTCACCAACCAGAAAATTGCTGTTACCAGTATCATACAACCATTTGGGGATGATTCTCCTATACTGTCACCATCATTCCAGTGACGTCACTGTAATTTATCCAGAATATTCAATGAATATTTAACAGTTAGGATCACTGGCCATGATATGAGTTGCAATAATCCTCAATAACCAGGTAGTAGAACTTCTTAACCAATCAACAAGGTCATTCTTTCAATTAGATGTCAATCATGTTATAGTTCCTTTTTTGATGGTTAAAACCCACATAAATCATTGTAAATCCCTATGTGAACCAATCAGCACAGGATGGTGGTTCCCAGTTATAAGTTGGCTTATAAACCCCATGAATACTATATAGTTCCAAATCATTAACCATAGTGACATTGGAGTTATGTTCACCAACTTAGCTAGTTCGTTATATCTACCATGAACCATCGAATGCAGCCACGCTATCGAACGTTATCGACCCATCCAGGCCTGTAATTTCCATCTTGCATCGCATCTAGCCTCAGGCTGGAGCCAGCAACAGGGCAAACATGGATATATAAAGATAAAACATGTGTGTATATGTACATCTGGTTGGTGGTTTCAACCCCTGTGAAAAAAAAGAAAGTCAGATTGGATCATCATCCCAACTATTGGAGAAAATAACAAATGTATATGTATAATATATATATACACATATTATGTATTCCATTGATGTCATTATCTTGCATGATATATCACCAGTATTCCACCAATTTTCTTGGTTAATCAGAATTTGCCAGTGATAATCCCTAGTTACATGATGATAATCCATAGTTTTCTGGGTTAATCACCAATTTTTACTTGCTTAATCACCATTTTTCCTGGTGAATCACAATGTTTGCTGGTTAAATCCATGCTTTACTTGGTTAATCACCATTTTTCTTGGTTAAACCCATGTTTTACGTGGTTCATAACAATTTTTCTTGGTTAAACCCATGTTTTACGTGAATTACCATTTTTCTTGGTTCATCACCATTAAAAAATCCATTGTTCTCCGGAACTCGCCGACCATTCCAAGCAACAACGCCTTGACCGCTTCAGTGCTCTGCATCAAGGGATCGTTGCGCCTGCTCGGTGGTTCAGCTCGCTGGAAGCTCGGTGGAAGGTGCAGAAGCTCGTGGATATGATAGGACTATTGGAATATGATACATAGGACTATGATAGGGATATAATAGGAATATATATATATACACCAGTAGCCAGTGCATCTCTCTCTATATATATATATATATATACAGAATATATTAGGAATATGTATAGGAATATCATAAAATATACTAGAGATAGAATAGGAATATGATAGGAATGATAGGTATGTGATAGCACTATGGTAGGAATATTTCAGGAATATAGAAATGATAGGCATATGATAGGACTATGTAACTATATATTATATTAATTTAATGAATGGGATATTTAACTAATAGTATGTTTTTTAGGTATGTCAGAACATGTTGAGTTTACCATCGTTTACCTTTCATTTACCCTCTGGTAAACGTTTACAAAAAAACTATGGAAAGATCCAGCATTTTCAATGGGTAAATCCACTAGAAATATCTATAAATGGCAATTTTACACAGAATATATTAGGAATACTACAACAATTGGCCCTCAATCAATCATATCATATACATATATTACACGTAATAACAGCTACCCTCTGGTAAACGTTTACAAAAAACTATGGAAAGATCCACCATTTTCAATGGGTAAATCCACTATACATATCTATAAATGGCATATGATAGAAATGATAGGCATATGATAGGACTATGATAGGGATATAATAGGAATATATATATATATAAATGTTTACACAGAATATATTAGGAATATACCATACCTGGGTCAAATGCTCCATGGTGCTGGAATATTTACCATATCTGGGTCAACCTTTGTTAGATACTTTAGTACTGTCATTTTTTGCTATCAATGATACAATGTGAGGCCCCCGAGATATCTAAGTTGGTGAACATAACTCCAATGGCACAATGGCTTATGGTACGCAAATAACTATAGTTACTGGGGCGAATCTAAACCAACTTATAACTGGGGGCCTCACATTGTAGGAATGTGATAGAAATGATAGGCATATGATAGGACTATGATAGGGATATAATAGGAATATATATATATATATACACCAGTAGCCAATGCATCTATATATATATATACACAGAATATACTAGTAATATATTTATAGGAATATCATGAAATATACTGTGGATATAATAGGAATATGATAAGAATATCTGCGTATCATGATCCTAGCAGCTTTGATCTTGGCAGCCCCAGAGGAGTGAGTAATATAATACTCTCCAGTA